TGCGAGGTCAGACAGTTTCCACTAGGTGAAACTGGCTGATGAATCAGACTACTGCTTCATGACATCACAAGGTGGAACAGGGCATTTTGAGCTTCAGAGAGGTAGACAGACTAATGATTAAAGGAAACAAAACACAACTCCAGGTCTCTTTGTGATGAGGAAACAGCAATATAACAGAGATCAGAAAATAGCGTAATATGGGCCTTTTAAAATGAGAAAATGGTGCTAACCTAAAAACCCTGTGAATTTGTCCTGGGACGACCTGGGATGGCCTGCATAAGACTCATTACTGCAGCAGTTAGAGCACATGGACTCACAGCGCTCAGAGCATCTCACCATCATTATCTGAGACCACACATCTCCACACCACAACGCCCCAAACCAAATGAACCAAACCCAGTGTCCTGACTGAAGGAGAGAAAACTGTAAGAAAAAGGCTGTGTTTCAACTAGACCTGGGTTAGTCCTGAATCTAGTCCTGGTCTAGTCCTGCTGTAGACCTGGTTTGGTCCTTTTCTAGTCCTGGTTTAGTCACTGTTTGGTCCTGGTTTAATCCTGGTTTAGTGCTGCTGGTTTATTCCTGTTTTGGTCCTGGTTTAGTCACTGTTTGGTCCTGGTTTAATCCTGGTTTAGTCCCGGTTTAGTCCAGCTGTAGACCTGGTTTGGTCCTTTTCTAGTCCTGGTTTAATCCTGGTTTAGTCCTGGTTTAGTCCCTGTTCAGTCCTGGTTTTAGTCCTGGTTTAGTCCTGGTTTAGTTCTGGTTTACTCCCAGTTTTGGAGGGAAGCATGATTGAAAGTTTGTACACTACTTACAGTGACTTCATTCACAATATTTTTCAGTTTTCAATTTAGACTACTATGGATTTACTTAAATAATGCATATTATTTGACTTTTTCATGTAAATTAGAATCAGAATATTTAAATATATATATATATATATATATATATATATATATATACATAAAAACCTTAACCAACCAATGCAAAGAATTGTAGTAGCAAAAGCAGTAATTAGTAGAAGTAGTAGTTAGTACACAGTAATAGTGGTAGTAGTGGTAATTAGAAGTAGTGAAAGTAGTAACACTAGTTGTAGTAGTAAATCTTACAATGCCATCCTGTTGGGTTTTGTATTTAGACTTGACTGTAACAATAGTAGTTGTAGTAGTAGTAGTAGTAGTAGCAGTAGTGATAATAGTGGCAGTAATAGTAGTATTAGCAGTAGTAGTGGTAGTAGTAGAACTTGACTAATGTAAAGTAGCAGCTGTAGTACTAGTTGTAGTAATAGTAGTATTAGTTATCGTACTGATGATATAGTTAGAATTGTAGTGACTGTTAATAGTTGTAGTGGTAGTAATAGTAGTAGTAATAGTAGTAGTAGTAGTAGTAGTAGTAGTAGTAGTAGTAGTAGTAGTAGTAGTAGTAGTAGTAGTAGTAGTAAAGTATTAAAAGACCCTTCATTCTAATCCTACTTGAGTTGTTGGCTATTTCTCACTGGTTCATTTTGTGATGTACCAAATTCCTGAACTTCTCTCTCAAAAACTGGACCAATTTTACAAAACCCGCTTTTCCTTTTCTCTCCAACAACTTATTAAGCCTTCCAGATTGCCTCTTAAAAGCAAATCCGTCCAAATTCCGAAACAAGTCCAGGATTTTCTGCTTTGCCAAAAAGATTTTAACTAAAAACTGAGATACAAATTTACTCAGTGATCGCCGGAGAGACAGTAGCGCAAAACTAAATGATGATTTTTGTTCATCGTTTTTCCTAAGTAGGTTGTAACAGTCGCCGAGGGAGCCGGGCCGTTACCGTGGAGACCGCTGCGGATGCTACACCGTGCGCCGGTCGCCATGGAAACGCAGCCCTGACAGTTGCCGTGGAAACCCAGCATCCTCCTCCGGTCCAGCTCCAGGTCTATACTCTGAACCCAATGCATCCAAGTATATTTGGTGTACAATACAATATGCTGGAACAGTTTGAATGTGGGTGATTATTAAAGGATCACTGTGTAACTTTTCTGGTACCAACATAGATACTTAAACCACAAGATTACTTACTGGTTATTTTTAAGTTTACAATCACAATATTTTTACTATTTCAGATGGACAAAACACTTACACTGGACAAACTAGAGTGTAGCTTTCAGTGTTAAAGATGCACTGTGTAACTTTATTGTCGGAGAGTCTGCCACTTTATTGTCTCCATGGAGATTATTGCTTTGCCTTGTATGTTCCACAGTATCTCCAGTATCAGTATCCTGCATTTCATCAGTCACAGCCGGTAACTTAACTGTGACTGTCTCTCCACAGATCTGACCTGTAAGTTGGTCTGGTGGAGTCACCTGCTTGTCTCCATGGAGAAGTCTTAACAACTGCATTAAGTAGGGGTATCATTAAGAAGTTGCATACCTCGATGCATAGGCCACGATACGATACATATCCGGTACACTTTTGATTCGATACAATATATTTCAAATCGATTTGATACAGTTCAATAAAAAACAAAGGCTAAATCATGTCTGTGATACTAAAGGTCTTTGTTAAACCACTTCTTGTGCAATGTGAATATGAAATATGCACATTTTAATCATCAAAACAATGAAAATGTCAAATGTGTTGCATAAAACAGTTTCCTTCCACTAAACAAACAACAAAACTGTTGCACTGTAACAAAATAGTTTAGTAAAATATACCAAAAAATACTCAATATCGCATATGAGGATATATCGATACAGGAGCCCACGATATCGATACTGTATCAGCACATTAAATAATACGATATAGTATTATATTTTGATATTTTTACACACCCCTACTCTCCACCAGAAAAGTTACATAGTGTACCTTTAAAGACGCTAGTTTTCAACACTTGAACACAGGCGCGAGTACAAAAAGATATTTAAATCTATTTACAAAAAAGACAGAATAATACAGTTAATTAATAAGTAATTAATAAGTAATAAGTATCATACCAGTATTATAATATGAGCTAGGGCTGTAATGGTTAATCTAATAAATGTGACTAATCAACGATATAAAAATAATTGTAGTCATATTTTGATATTATCTGGCCTATACAGACTCTAAAACACAAATAGAAAGCCGTTCTTTTATAACAAAGACAGTGGCATTACTAAATTAAAATGTGAAAAAAGAAAATTTCTATCAATAATCCAGTTTGTTCATAAATAATCTGTATAGAAGCCTTCATTCATCATATTTTCGTAATGTTAATTTATTTTTATTTGGTTGATAATTTATTTTAAAAGTCCCACTGTACAATAGAAATAATCCTTTGACTTGCCCATGTCCATAATCAAAAAATGAACCGCTGACTAGTCACATTTGAGCGTTTAAAATCTTTCACTTCCTCATTCTCAAACATACTTGAGAGTACACGGAGTATAGCGGGAGTACGTTAGCCTGTATGGTGTTGTGTTTGGGATTAGAGTCTCTGGGTGAAGCTCTGAGCAGCGCCTGGGTCCTGCTCTCGCTGGAACACGAGCCCCAATCGATGTGTTTACAGGCACACAGCTGTAAGACTGCAGCTACTGTTACAGAAGTGGAGCCAAGGGGAGCCTAAAGAGAGGACATGTACGCCCACGAAACAGGAAGTTTGTAGTTTGATTCTAGCAGAGCTGTAGTTGACTAAAGAAATTTAACTAAAGACATCCCCTTTGCAATGTTTAATCAACTAAAAGTGGTTGTGGCATGAAAGATGGTACAAGATCTAAGATTATACAAGGAAAATGAGCTAAATCTGGTCTGTGCAATGCATTTATTTTGCAATGTCCCTGTCAAATAAATCAGAATCAAAACAACATCTTTATAAGTAAAAAGGCAGATTAAACTGTCCCGATCAAATAATAAGTCGACTAATATCATAATGTCAAATTTGGTAGACAGTGGCTAGATTGGTAGATGGCTAGGTAATAGATGGTTTTTCATTCCGCACTCTTCTCTCCAATTTATGTCTCTTTTTTAATTTTAATCTTCATGATTATTTATGTTTTGATTTGTTTTTATTATGATTTTAATGTATTTCTTATTCTGTAAAGCACTTTGAATTACTTTGTGTACGAATTGTGCTCTACAAATAAACTTGCCTTGCCTAGATTCCGTGTTCTTTTCTGTGCAGAATTTGCATGTTTCTCATTGTGTGGTGGAACTCCGGTTTCCCCATCAACCCAAAACAATACCGTCCTACTGAGAAAGTCCTGACCAATTAACACAATTTTAATAACAACACAAGGGAGGCGTTCCCACTTGCACAATCTCCGCATCACATGGAGGACTATACTGAAGCCGGAACTAAACCAAGACTAGACCAGGACTAAACCAGAACTCAAACAGGAACAAATCAAATCTACATTAAGACCTAAACTGGGCTCAAATGAGAACCAAACCAGGACAAGTGTGAACGCTCCCTAAGGGCCTGGCCACACTGCACACGTCAGCAAACACGATGATTTCAAAAGTAAATTTCAAAGCATTAATTGACAGTTTTCTGGACCAGGGCTCTTTCAAATGATACAGAACTGCCCCAGGAACACAATAGATACATGCTGTTTATGTATTTTGATGGGGATTTGCGCCTACGCTTGCAAAGCCCGTCAAAAAATAGGATGGATCTTATGTTTCGGCAGGACATGCGTGCGTAGATTTTGGCATTGGAGCCGCCCTCATTCACTTTTAATGCATTCTAAAAAATACGCGTCCAAAAGTTGCAGTTTTTACATTCGCGTTGGGCCAAATACTCGTGCAGTGTGGCCAGACCCTGAGTCACAGCTGACCTGGGGTACACTGACTTGTGCGAGGCTCCATCGGCCCTTCTGACGACCACCAACTCTTCACTCAAAAACTACATTCACACAGACAAGTGTTTTGCCCAGTGACAAAAAACATGTAAAGGTCGGTACTGGGACTGAACCGCCGACCTTTAAGACAATAACAGAACTGTGTATATTCACCAAACGCAGAGATAGTGAAGGAAGGATTGTACTCACGTAAGAAGTACTCAGAAGGATCGGCCTCGTAGTCCGTCTCCTCTGGGAAGTGGTCTATCTGTTTACACATGCCTTTGAAGTTTCCTGTTTGAAGACACAGAAAAACACACACTTTTACTCATCTCAACAAAACACTGTCACAACATTTCACATTTCAAATTCTTCCCCAACCGATGTGAGTCGGGTTTAGATTAGGAAAATATTATTAAGTTAATCAATGATTGCGATAATTAAGGTCACAATATAATCATAAGAAATAAAATAAAAACAATCGCCAATAAAAAGTTCCATAGTATTTAAAATCCCATCACAGTGTATCTTTAAAAACTTCATTGAACAAAATAATCTTGAACTTGTGATGTTTCTCCAACAGCTACTAAATAAAATATTATATTATGACATATATCTATACAAGTTAGATAAAGTTAGACTAAAGAGTAAAAGTGTAAGAGACAGGAGTCATATCAGGCCGCTTTGAAATGTCGTTTGTTTTCATGGAATAAATTCTGCGAAAGTTAATTCCTGGAAATCCGAACGGTCACAAAAAATCACGTCAGAGTCTCGGAGCTTTTCAACCATTTGACCCATCACTTATGTCTATTCAGTAAAATTATGTAAAAAGGTTCTTTATAATAAAACGTAGAAAAGCTGAATTTGTAATTGCAGGATAAGTATAGTGATCATAATTGTCCAAAGCCTGTCATTTGAAATCTAAGAAAGCCCAAATTTGCATGATATTATCTATGAGTTTGCTATAAAATCTGTTTTTAAAGGTCCTATATTACGCAAAACTTGAATCTATGTTAAAATGTTGTTACCGCCCCCAAAACAGACCCGGAGTTTTGTTTTGTTTCATTCACACGTTTGAATAACTCTTTATTATTAGTCTGTCTACATCTCCAAAGCTCAAAAGGCTCTGTTCCACCTTGTGATGTCATGAAGTGGTAGTTTTCAAGTAAATTTTTTGTCTTTTAGTTCAGTAGAGATTTCAATTCCAGGGCTGAAATTATCCAAATGATTCTATTGAAGGTGTATGAAGTTTAAAAACACAATGGAGCACTTCCTGTATTACCACATGACACAAGGTGGAGTTTTTTTTTCTGTTTGAGAGAAGAATTCAGCCTAATTATGCAAGATTTGTGTGTTAAACATGTGGGAATGAAACGAAAACACAACTCCAGTTATGTTTCTGATGAGGAAATAACAACAATATTATAACATAGATCAGTATCCTGGTAATTAGTCCTGTTTTAGTCCTGGTTCAGTCCTAGTTCAGTCCTGCTTTCAGTCCTTTCCTTCCAGTGGTTTGAGTCAGTTCCTGGTTTAGTCCTGGTTCAGTCCTGGTTTAGTCCTGTCCAGTTTTAGTCCTCCTAGTCCTCAGGCCTGGTTTAGTCCTGAGTCCTGTCCTGGTTCAGTCCTGGGATCAGTCCTGGTTTAGTCCTGTTTCAATCCTGTTTTAGTCCTAGTTCAGTTCTGGTTTAGTCCTGGGACCAGTCCTGGTTCAGTCCTGGTTTAGTCCGTATGCGAAAAACTGAATCATAATCCGTTTTTTAGTTATTTTTTATTTTTCCCCCCATTTTGTTATTTTCAGTTTTATTTTGAAAAATGAATGATGCACGGTTTATCGCATCCCATTGGTCTTCATTCATAAAAACGGCAACGCTAACTGCCTCTCATCTGGCGCACTTTGAACTCTCCTTTGAGCAGGTGTCAATATCAAACCAGGGCTATTCACCACTCCCCCCTCCCCTCGCCGCTTCCCATGATGCCGAGCTGCCAGGACCGCCATCACAAACACCCGGCGCCATAGTGACCCACACCTGTTCGTATAATGGGGGGAGTTAATGATACGCTAATACAGGCCGATTGAACGCACGGGCAGCTGTCTGTTCTCTGTAATGACCAACCCCTGACCCACCTCTGAACCACGCCGTAATAATGAGGCCGCCGCCGCCAAACGGACACTAGAGGGCGCCGCGAGGGGAGGAGCAAGTGGAGGGGATGATCGGTCTAGGTATTGTGGCGAAGCAAGGACTAGATAAGGACTGAACGGGGTCTAAACCAAGTCTAAAGCTGGACCAAACCAAGACTGTAAGAATTAAATCAAGTAAGGGATCCAACCAGGACTAATTCCAGACTAAACCAGGACTGGGCCAGGGCTAAACCATGATTGAACCATCATTAAACCAAGCAAGATCTCAATAACAAAACAAAAAAAAGGAAAGGAGAGGGGAAAGGGAAGTTAGTATGCCAGCAGTTGACAAGTAAGACTGATTCAACCAAGACTAAACCAGGACTAAACCAGAATTAAACCAGGTCCAGAGCAAGGTCTAAATAAGCACTGGAAGTAGTACTACTAAACAAAGATTACACCAGGGCAAAAAATACAGAATAGTGGACAGGGAAAGTGAACTCTAAAGTAAACTAAACTCTCTAACTAAATCTGATGTAAAACCTCAACAGATCTAAACTTGGTCTAAACCAGTGTTTCCCAAAATTTTTCAAACTTTTTTTTTTTCTGGGCACCCATATTTTAAAAGTCACAAACCTTGGCCACCCAAGTCAATAAACATTATTCGTAAATCATAAAATAAAAGTGGATTTGAGCATTATTGAACATTAATGAGAATTTTTTTATTGTTGACTGAGTGATCGTGTCTCTCTGAACAATTAGTATTACTCAAGTTTTAAACAATGAAGAACAGTCACTGAAGCAGCAATAAAAGGATCCATAAGTCGCCTATTTGGACATTAAATGTAGCCCATTTCTTTTTCTTTTCATTCAATTGAATCAGCAATATTGGAACAAAATAGTCAATAAAATAATTACCATACAAAAAGATTACAAATGATACAAAACATGTCTTAACATTTCAACATTTCAAATGACATAGGTGGGATCAGTCTGTGTTTCTGTAGCACGTTCCAGTCCGGGCTGCAGGAGGAGAGCACAACAGATCAGGTGTATAGGTAGAACTGTATATTGTAGACCTACATGCAGATCGTGACAAGGCGACCCAAAAAAATCTCTTGCGACCCACCCGAGGGTTGCGACCCAGTCTTTGGGAAACAACAGTCTAAACCAGACTTAAAACAGGAATAGAAAATTAGTATACTAGTTCTAAACAATTATGAAACCAAAGGAGAACAACAATTTAGATTTTGTATTAACTCTACACTGATCAAATATTTGAACTTTACTTAAATAATTAAAATTTAACCCCCAAAAAATTACATTTCTTCCTCCAAAGTCTGAACTCTGCTCCAAACTTCATGCACATTTGCAGACAGACAAACTGAATAATGACAATAAAAAATGACAATTCAAATCTGATTAAATGCAAAACCCTAATTGTTAAACACACACAAAACTCCTCATACTTCAGTTCGTATGGTGCTTATATTCCCTCCATTCACATGTTCAGCCTGACATTCCCACACTGTACACTGCAATGTGATCTGTAACAGCAGGGGCCCATTGGGGAAACGGCTTCACTTATTATGTTAAAAGATTTATGTGGCACTTAACTGGGGCCTTTCTCTGCCACATGTAACCCCTGAATGTTTTATAACTGTATTTTCATTTGAACAGGACCTGAGAGAGAGGGAGGCCGTAAGGTAAGGGGCAAAGACGGAGAGGTTTTGACAAGTAGAACTGAGCGATTTCGGAAGAGAATCTCATTGTGATTTTTTTGGCAAGTTTTGGGATTTATGTTTTAGTAACAGGATTCTGTTCAAAGGTGAATCGACAAAAGGACTGAAATGTGAAATGACAAACTAATACAAGAATCACGTTTCAGAATATCCGTACAGATCTAAACTACAAGGTTAACCGTTTTTATGCAGAAAAAGATCTAAACCAGGACTAAATCTGAAGCAGCATACACCAGGACTGAACCAAACCAAGACTAAACCAGATCTAAACTAGTGCTAAACCAGATCTAAACCAGGACTGAACCACACAAGGACTAAACCAGGGTTCAACCAGAACTAAAGTAGGTCTAAATCAGGTCCAAACCATGAATAAATCAAGACTAAAATAGGACTGAACCAGACTATACCAGAACTGAACCAAGCTGGGACTAAACCAAGACTAAATTAGGACAAAACCAGGACTAAAATAGGACTGAAACAGACTATACCAAGACTAAACCAGTACTACACTAGGACTACACAGGAATAAACCAGGACTAAATTAGGACTAAACCCGGACTGAACCGAGACTCAACCAGGACTCAACCAAAGCTGAACCAGGACTCAACCAGGACTAAAATAGAACTGAACCAGACTATACCAAGACTAAACCAGTACCAAACCAGGAACTGAACCAGACAACACCAAAACTTAACCAAACCAGGACAAAATCAAGACAAAATCAGGACTAAACCAGGACTGAACCAGAGCTGAACCAGGACTAAACCAGTCTTAAAGAAGGTCTACATCAGGACCAAACCAGGACTAAAACGGCACTGAACCAGACTATATCAAGACTAAACAAGTACTAAACCAGGACTAAACTAGGACTGAACCAAGACTAAACCAGGACTAAACTGAGATTAAACCAGGATTTAACCACCATTAAATTAGGATTAGCACTGAGCCAGTACTAAACCAGAACTGAACTAAACCAGGACTAAACCACTGGTCCGTATCCATGTGCAGACAGAGACTTCTACAAACATGTTCTGAAATGCCTGTGATTCTTGTATTAGTTTATCAGTTGAGTTTTCTCTCAGATGCAAACGCTCCTGGCTGTGTTTGAAAAGTGCTCTAGAAACACAATCCTAATATTATGACACAAATCTCAAATCTACTCACAATGCAACACTTTACAGAAAGACTGGAATCTGATATTTCCTCCCAAACATCTCCACACATAAATGAAGATATTACAGGTCACAATCAGAGCAGATATTAATACACACAAAGAACTACTTTAACTCATAGGTGTGTTATTTTGCAGTTTTAATGTATAATCTGTAATCCGTAATCTGTAATCTGTGTATTTATCATCACATCAAATCAGGACTAAACCAGGACTAAGGTAGGACTGGACCTGACTACACCAGGACTAAACAAGGACT